CCCCGCTCGGCCCTCCGGAGCGGCAGGGCGAGGTGCCGAGGGGGCCGCCGTCTCCTTGGAGGATGCTCAGACAGCTCGGGAAAGACCTGAGAGAAGTGATCCCGGAGGCTCGGCCGGGATGAGGGTCGGGGGCGTGCGGGGGGATGCCCATGATGTTGTTTCACCTGCTCTCCCTTTTCCGTTTGCTAGCGTGTCCCGCTGGACAGGAGAGAGCGGCCGCCGCAGGATGCCCACGGCCGGCCGGCCCGGGAGCCGGTCTGGCTGGATGTGTAGGCAGTGTGGAGGATTTCAGAGCTAGCCTTGAAAGCGGTAATTCCTCACTCTTTTCCCCCCCCTCGGCAGCTCAGACTCCGAAGGTAATTTTGAGACCCCTGAAGCAGAAACACCGACCCGCTCGCCACTAAAGGAGTTCTGCGGGCCGCCGCCGGGATCGCCGGAGCCTGAGGCCGGGACCCAAGGTAAAGAGCCCGCGTGCACCTTCTGCTTTTCCGCTCTCTGATCCGGATGCGGAAAGGCAGGGTGGGGTCAAAGAGGAGAAGTCGCTTCTTTTGAATAATGCCTGCCACATTTTTTGTGGTTAATGGCCTGGATGGTTCAAATGCCAGTACTCAGGGCCGTGCGCTCTGCAAAGGGCTATTCTCTCACTTGAGTGAAATGTTGACTTGATGATTGAATCGTTTTGGAGGGAGGGGGCTGCACTGCAGGCTCAGAAGAGTCAGTTTGCCCCCCTTGGCTCACGTCTAGCAGTGCAAAATCATCGTTGTGCTGTTTTGCACCCTCCTGCTATCCCCGAGCCGGGGAGGGAGCGAGAGGCTGCGGAGGCAGAGCTCTGCACATCGGGTTTCGTGAGCTGCCGAGCCGGCTGAGGCTGCGCCCATGCAGAGGCTGCAGCCGGGACGGCCGCGATGGGTTGATGGAGAGGAACAGAGGATGTTGTTGAATCATTTTGTCAGTTAAACTGCCCTCTGCCACTTCCCCCGCCGACTGCGCGGCGCTCGGGGCTGCCTCCCGTCGCTGGCCGCTGCGGAGAGCGGGCTGCTGGCCGGTGGGAGCTGCCCCGCGCGTGCCCCGCGCGCCGCTCACCCTTGGCTCCGTCCAGGAGCTGACGTGGTGCTGGGTTTGTGTCCTCCCCCCGGCCGGTCGGCGGCAGAGGTTTCATTGCATGGGTCTTTTTTCCCTGGAGTTAGCGGCCAAGTGTCTTTGCTGTGTAGCTGCTGTTAAAGATGTAAAAGCTCAACGCTGCTAAACCATATTTTTGAAGAAATTGCAAGCGATCTGCTGAAAAGGCAGGGGGTTTCCTTTGCCAGTGGGGCCCTTTGCTGTTGCTGGTTTGTCCTTGAGTCTCACACCGGCTGCCGCTCCTCTGAGCGCAGCTCCCCGTTAACCCTTGGCCTTTTGGGACCAGCTCCCCCCTATCATCGTACTCCAGGGGGAACTGTGGTTGGTGTCTGTGGCTGAGCTTGGTGTTCCCGTCTGTTTTCGTGCTGCCAGGAGGAGGCTTTGAAGCTCCGGCACCTCTGCAATAACTGCTGGAGGTTATCGGGGCAGGGGGGAGACCTCCCCTTTCATCTGCTCTCTCAGCAGAGCGGGGTGACTGGGCAGGGGCAGGGTGCCTGTGAGCCCCCGGGGCTGTCTGCAGGAGGGCGGCCTGGCCGGGCAGCGCACGGGGGGCCGGCAGGTCCCGGAGGGGCCATCCCGAGCATCCTCTGCCCTCTCGTGCCTGACTGCCTCTCGCCGCTGCAGGGCCCCTGCTATAGGACTGGCAATATTGTGCTTTTTCTTGAATGCTTGCAACCGCAGGCTGGTTCAGCTTTGTTCAGCTGGGTTTCGGAGCATGCTGGCTCGAACCAGACCGTGGGTCCTCCCCGGGCAGGAGCCCAAGTACTGCGTGACCTTGGCAGTAACAGGGTGCTGTGGCTCTCCGTCTCCTGCGGTGTTGTTTCGCTGTTGGGATGGATCTGGGTGCCCACCCATCCCCGTGGAAAACACAGGTTTCTTGGTTTCTTTGCCTTGATGGAGAGAGCGCTTGGTTCATGCTTCTGATAATCACAGCTCTTGGAATAATCCTTCCCTTTTAAGAAGGGATGATAGAGGCATCTTTACTTTGGGGGATAATGTCTGGGGAGGAGGAGAGGGGAGATAAAGGCTTTCCTAGCAGGTCTGAGGATCTTTTCTGCCAAAGCTTCTGCTCAGGGAAGCCCGTTGCCTCAGACTCCAGGGAGTCACCGTCCCCAACGCGCGCCTGTGCCCCTGCGTCCTGGGACGAGCAGCAGTTCCTCGGGGCCAGCCTGGCACAGCAGCGAGGCACAAAGCTCGCAGTGTTGCGGGACCGAGGGGATGATCTCCGGCAAAAGCTGTTTTTCCTTGGTGGCTGGTGGAGAGCGGGATGTTGGAGACAGCAGGGCCAGCTCCATCCCTGCCCTGCCCGGGGCTTCGGGTGCATCTCTTCGGTGTCTCTGAAATGGTGGAGGGAAGGATTACCCGGGTGCGGCTGTGAGTTTGCAGCGTGCAGAAGGCATCCTGGGTTGAAATCACGATACCTTGGGTAATCTGTAGGTTAAGCCCTCACCTTTGCAACGCTGCTTTGCAGCCCTTTCGTCTGGCTGCAGCTCAGGAGCAGCAGCGGTAACAAATGCTGCGCTCAGGAGGCAATCCAGCGTAATGGCTGCTTGTCAGTGCTGAAACAGCAGAGCTGTCATGTACAGCGAGAGCC